ACATGTATAGCAAACAGCAGTTTTTAAACATTATACATGTTATAAATGTAATAACCTTAAAAAAAAAGATTTATGAACACTTGTTGCAACTTTACGATAACCTTCAAAATGATGGTTTACAAACCAATTATGGACCAAATACACCAGTAAACATTATGAGTTGTTGTTTAATTGACTGGTTGACTTTTACTGTTAACTTAAAATGTACCATTTATTGTGTTACCCGTTTTGGATATTTACCAAATACCACTGTTCTCATAGGGGGGAAAAAATCACTGTTTTGTTCTCTGATAAGCTTTTCATGGACTAATTTTTGCAGAGAATTTCTTTACTCATGCTTGAATAAAGGGGAGAGAGCATGAGATTTTATAATGGGATAAATAACTAAATAACAAATGTTTGCACTTTTCACAACATTTGCTGATACACTCAGTGCCAAATGTAACTCAAATAACTCATTATAACCAAGGTATGCAGAACACCACCTCCAAACACACAGCATATCAAACCTTCAAGCAGATGGGCTACAGTGGTGGCACTCCTGTCAGCTAAGAACAGAAAACTTAAGGCTATAATTCACACAAAAAAACTGCATAATAAAAGACTAGAAATATGCTGCCTGGTCATTCTTGATTTGTGCTGCAATGGACATGAAAGCATGGATCCATCCTGGCTTGTATCAAAGATTCAGGCTGGTGGTGGTGGTGTAATAGTGTGGGGGATATTTTCTTGGTCCACTTTGGGCCCTTCAATGGCAGGAAAGCATTGTTTAAAATTTTACAGCAACAGTAAATGGATGGACTGGTACTTATATAGCAGCTTTCTACTCAGAATAAGACCTCAAGGAGTTTTGTATTACATGCCTCATTCACCCATTAGCACACTGTGCTTTTATCTATACCTAAGCACTTTTACTCACTCACAAGCCAATGGATGCAACTCAGGGATCAGAGGGGATCAATCCACGATCCTTCTAATTGGTAGATAAACCACTCTTCTACCTGAGCCCTAGCCACAGTTGCCCCACCTGTTTGCCCACCCTCTGATGGCTACTTACAGCAGGAGAGTGTGCCATGTCACAGAGCTCAAATCATTTCAAACTAGTTTCTTGAACATGACAATGAGTTCTAAAATAGCGTCCTCAGTCACTAGATCTCAATCCAACAGAGCACCTTTGGGATATGATGAAACAGGAGATTCATTCATGCATGAGCAGCCAACAAATCTGCAACAACTGTGTGATGTGATTGCCTCAATTTGGACCACAATCACTGAGAAAGGTTTTCAGCATGCCTTTGGATCCATGGCATAAAGAACTGAGGTGGTTCTGAAGGCAAAAAGGGGGTTCAACCCAGAACTAGCAAAGGTATATCTAGGCTGTGTACATTTCTGTACTGACAAAGATAGGAAATGGCTGGACCTTTGCTAAAGCACATAAACCTATGATGATCTGAAGCCAAATGTAAACACACCCTGCATTTCTCTACATATGTCCTAAATACAAAGAATTAATTATAGGTCTTAGTTGCTCTAATGTGTGTCCAAACACCTCACCATCTCTCATTTCTGCCCTCTACCTTCTGCTTTACATCTTCAGCCCAGCACTGCCCCCTCACCTCACCCTCCTCACCCACCACTGCACCACAAGCAGTTAAAAGTGACCATATGGTAACAAAATGATTAGACAGACTTAGGACAGGGTCCTGGACTTTCCCACCGCTCTAAAGACACCGTGACATTAGTTCTCTACATCGGATTACTTATTACCTTAGCAGGCGCTTCACAAGCAACATTTGCTTACATCCTTTGATGTGTTTAGCAGCCAGAGGAGATCACTTTTGTCTGGAGGAGCTAAAGTTAGCTCCCACTGTGCTGGACATGAACATTTATTAAATGAAATATATGTCTCTATGTGACTAATGAATAAAACGAATAACATCAGCATCCTACAGAATAAATAAACATTTCCCCTTAGGAATTTGCCCAAGAATTTGCCCAAGAACAACAATATTAATATACAGTTATATGCTAATTTCAAGGAGGAAAACAAAGCATAACTGGAGCCTTAAACTGAAAAGAATAACTAATACAATCTAAGAAACACACTGTCTACAAGTCAAGTACCAAAAGTTTGGATTTTCTTAAATAAAGACTGCACAAGAAGGAATTACATAACACCAAATCACCAAAACAGGCAAAGAAGACTGTACAAAGAAAAAGGTTCTTGAGTTCACATGCATAAGTCAACATGATGGCATAAACAGACTGATGCACTGATCAAAGACGTGAACGTGCAGTTATACTTGCTCGAACCACTTCACTCGAACATAAAATTCTGCATTCACACACATGTGAAGACACACACACGCTCGCACAGATACGGTGGCTGCCCAGCTGCTACAGGCAATCAAGACGGAGCGTCGTGTTACAGAAGCCCGATGACTCTGCTCATTCCTTCCTGGCTGAGTCTTTGCCCTGCGCCTTACATCCCTCCGATAAACAGGACAGCATGCCAACTTATCTTACCAGGCTTCTTCTCTCTACCTTCTATTAAACCCAAGGCCCCCAAATATACAGTAAGCTTCCACGTCTGCACCCTTACCAAACCCACCCACTATCCCGCCGCATGGCATTTGAGACGCTCGTTCTTTCATTCAGTCATTACCATCTTTACCCTATCACCATCTTTGCTCCTAATCACAACAAAACACAAACCAGACTCTAACTCTGTGGTCCCCTGAAATAATACCAATAAATTGGTCTGCATGTCCTTTATTTATGACCATTCACCTATAAAACCAGGCTATTTCAGTTGGGCAGATCTGCACCTACCCAGTAATCCCTTCACACCCCCTTCTTAGCGCCAGTTTCCTCTCTCATCATCCCGTTTCAAAACCCCCATTTTGGACCCCGAGGGCCTCGCTGCTCGCGACCCTAAAATACACATCGTGAGATTGGATGTGTTTCTACGTGGCTTATGGGGAACGTTTTCTGATTGCGTTACATCACTCTATAACTGCTGAAGCCAGCAAATGTCCTTTATAAAAAAAAAGAGCTAGGTCCTTCAGTATCAAAAAGAAGTCTTCATGACTTGGTTGTTCCCTCATAAATTAGGTAAGTAATATGTTTCGTCCCCATTTTTTTAAACTGCAAATATCAGTGTGTGTTTCCCCACAGGAAAGAGCCAG